AGTTTTTCGTGGTTTGCGGGTGTTAAAGTGGGTTTGGCAGGAATATGAAATAAACTTACGTTGCGTAGGCGTCTCAGGAATCACGAATTGGCTATAGTCATTTACGTATTAAAAATAACTTCATGTAAATGTTGTACGCGGCTCCGTTTCTATTCGTAAGATCCTGTTTTCCGTTTGACTAACATATGCCCAATTGCTGAGAACGACGACGAATTAACATTTCACAATTGTGATTAACAGTGGACGCTATTACTGCAATATTTTCTTCTGTATGGACTGTATGTATGCGAGTCGATTGTTTAATGTCCAACAAAGTAAATTTAGTGCGAAATTTGATAATAGCAGGAATGGTTTCTTCCCTAGGTCGATTATGACGACCATAATATAGACGTAACAAACGATAAAGGTTTTTTTTACTGAGCAAGCAGTAACAATTTGCGATCGTTGATCGTTTGTAAGTCTTTCCAGGATGAAATGGGAGAGTACACTGAAAACGTGTTACTTTGACAGGTGACATTTGGATGCCATTACCAACCAATTCTGCCAGAATTAAAAACATATAACACACTTTCTGTCCTAAGAAAAGAGCAATCATCCGACATTTTACATTTACAAGAAAAAAACTTTACATGCAACTTTATAAAAATTGAGAATTAAATAGACGCACAAGATCTGATAGTCCTTATCAATGAGTCTCCCACACATTTATCCCATATCCTTTCCCATATCGATTGTTTTTATACATTTTAGTCCTGACCCTACCCCACCCATATCAAAATATAATATACGGGTAGCTAATTGGGATGACGCGCAAACAGCTATGAACTGTACTACAGGTTGTTTAAGCCACCAATTTGCACAAATAAAAATAAATAAAAAGCAACATTTATTCGCGTTTTAAAAAACGCCACACTTCCTTTAAAATTAGATTCTTAAAACTTAAGCTTAAGCGCTGGCCCGTTGGATCAAAGCTTTATAACATTACTAGCGTGCCCGCTTCGCTTCGCTCCGCACGCTTTCCTTTCAATAAGAAAGACGGACGTCGGGCTGCGCGGTCCTCTTCTCAAGCTTGACATAGTCTGCTAAGGTCTGTGTACCATGTGCGGGTAAAATAAAATAAATAAAATAATTTTCGTTTAGGTTTCTATTCAACATTTATTATAGGTAGTGCTTTGGGATATACAATGTTTCTTGTATGTCCATCAGGTGCGTAAACGAATTATTCAGAAGATTTTCCGACGCGCGAACAGGCAACATAGACCTGCCCATGTGAGAAGCATGGATTCTCCAAATGTAGTCCACACGCTTGCCATTGCAGTTGCGCTTTGTTGATAGTCATTGCGAAGGACAGTCGTACCGGAAAAAGCAAACGTTTGAATTCGATTAACTAATGAATTCACCATTCAAAATTCTTATTTCGATAAAATTGTTCATCAGTTTCTTGACTAAGAGCTTGGTTCCATTGCAAAGTCGAGGGAGATGGATATTTCGAAGGAGAATCAGAATCTGTCAGAATTCGGTTGGATAGTTGACATCCCACCAAACAATAAAATGAGCGCTCCACCACATCCGTGCGTTTTCTTTTATATATCGCAGTGTACGATCAAGCGCTTCCAACGCTTTCTTGTGAGACATTGTGCTTTCGTCCTTTATAATAATTTGACAATATAATAAAACAGGGTGACAATAAATAACCCGGACAAACTTTGAAGCAATCTATTATAAATGTGTTATGATGCAGCCCTTAAATAAATGCATTTATCGATAGCTTGTAATTTTCTGAAACAAATATATTTACATTTTTGTGATTCCCATCAATTTGATATTTGTTTCGGGATATCTAACAATCGTTGTGCAATTTTAAAACTGTTTCAACAAGGTAGGAAGGAAGCTTGGCATACCAAAACAAACGGTCTCTGACGATATCCGGCGATTTAATGAGCCATGAAGGTGACCGCCCCGGACGAGGCAGACCATGCACCGCTAACACTTCCAGAATTCGCCAGATCGTGAAAAAGTGGATCACTCGGAATTGCAGTCTCGGTCAGAAAACTAGCCCGTGAAATCGGAGTGAATCGAGAGTGTTCGGTTGATTGCAAAAAATGAACTTAATCTCAAGCCCTACAAGCTCCAAAAAGTACATCTTCTTACGGATGACAATAAGCGCGTGAGATGTTGTTGATGTTGCATATTGGAGCCTGTGTTTTGTAAATTCAATAGTAGCTGCAATGCTGAATGAGCTGTCCACCATTTAAAAGAGTGGCCGCAGTTCCAGATGATGCAATGGCCAGTGCAATTTTGTTTTGTGATCGTAAGGTTGCCAAAATGAGGGATACAAGAAGAGTCTTGATTGTCCTAATTGTATTTTAACTACACATAAGGAAATACGAGCTTCAATATATGCAAGTTTACGAAACTAAACAAGGAAAAACGCTATAGTCGAGTGCCGCGACTATAAAATATCCGTTACACAATTTTAAAATATTTAGTTTACCAGTGAAAATGGACAGAGCGCCACCTTTTGTCAAAAAAGCATGTTTACTAACTGTGGCCTTATACCATACTTTTCTTCATAAATAGCGAAATAATGATCAGATTTGAAAAATCTTTGGTAAATCAATAGATATTGACAAAACAATTCTATATAAGATCAAACAAGGACGGGCATTATATTATATTGGACACCACAGTTTTTAACGGTTTAGGGGCGTTAGATGTGCGTGGTAAAAATTCACGTTGAGCTGCAGTTGCATCTCTTAAATATGTTTTTCATTTTTGGTTTTTTTGGTGCGAGATCAGGACTATACGGTGGATGCAAAAGAACCTCCCATCCGAGCTCCCGGAGCTTCTGGCGCGTCACTAAAGATGTGTGTGGCTTGGCGTTGTCATAGTGGAAGACAATTCGACCTCTGTTGATCAAAGATGGCCTCATCTGCATGAGTGCTGTCTTCAAACGGTCCAGTTGTTGGCAGTAGAGGTCCGAATTGAGCGTTTGGCCATAACCACCAAACACACAGAAGAACCTTCCTGGCCGTCAATCCAGGCTTGGCCACCGTCAGGGCCGCTTCACCGCCTTTCGACCACGACCGTTTGCGGCTTACGTTATCGTGAGTGACCCACTTTTCATCGCCAGTCACCATACGCTTCTAAAATTGGTCGGGCCTTTCTCTTTCGACCAATTCAGCGATTTTATCGCAATTTTCGACGACAGGCCTTCCGGAGCGTGGCGCATCCTTGACCACCTCTACACCAGAACGAAAACGTTGATACCATCGTTGTGCGGTGGACATGGAAACTGTATCGGATCCATAAACTGCACAAATTTTATTGGCGGCTTGAGACGCATTTTTGCCTTTATCGTAGTAGTACTGAAAAATATGCCGAATTTTCTCTTTATTTTGCTCCATGATTGCCACGCTATAACTCACGAACGACTTAAAAAGACAATCAATCAAACACGTGTTAGCGCGTGAAATGATCTTTTCAAAAAGGTATAGTATGACCTGATGCGACGAATAAAACAAGAACTACGCGCTTTCAGCGCCAACTAGAGAAAATACCGCAAGACTTTTTTTGACAACCTTATATAAATACTGTTAAAAAGAAATTTTTTGACTTAAGTTAACACCGGCCAAGCGCCCTTCACCTCCTCTCGACCTCTATTATGGACACCGCATCTCTCTCTCTCCCACATTCAAGTGGCAGAGATACAACGACGCAGCGACAGCGAAGGAGAGACCCAACGTCAGCGGCGTCAGAACGACAGCACAGCGACAGAATGCCAGCGACAGAATTTTTCTTTTCCGCAGCCGCACGGGCACCGATATGCTTAAGGGGAATTCTTTTTAAGACAACCAGCCTCTAAACAGAGATTTTACTCTTCACTTCAATTTGTACCCCCGACATGAGAAACCGACTTTTGATATTAACAAATAAACCATTGTAACGTTCAGGAACAATTACTGATTTATTTTAAAGAAACGTTACTCATCGAATAAACCTAATACGAAGTAACAACAATGCAGTAATCCCTAACTAGGTAATATCTGGGAGAATAATCCACCCTTTTGGAAATGTCCGACCATAACTTTTATTATTCCTGGGGAGCCAATTTTGCGTGCTTCCCTAGCCATAGAATATGTAAAGTACTTCATATTTGCCCTAAACACAGTTTAACTCTCCGATAAAAACTTCAAAGGCAAAAAAAAAAAAAAAATTTAAAATGTTTAACCATTTTGGGCTTAACCTTTGATTCCAAGTTCTTTTTGATAAACATTGTATTAAATTAAGAAAACAACTCGAGACTAGATTTAATATTATACAATTTTTGTCATCAAAATACACTAGCATTAATATCAATACACTTATAGGAATTACTCCTGCATTCATCCGCCTTCGGGCACACTCGTTGCGTCGGCAAGCCGACTGCACACACACTAAGTTATTACCATTTAACTTATATTCTTACAGGAATACCACGTCCCGCTTGCGGCGACCGGCTCGAAATAGTTCAATTTCTGAACTCAAGCCGCTTTCTGCACTTTCATCGTATAATTTAAAAATAGTTTAAAAAAATAACACAATAAAATTTCAGCAATTTATGATCAAATGCAATCTAAGAAACTAATTAATCTAATTAATTGTTTAAATCTAGAAATCTTTAATCTTTTTTAATTAATAATTTTTTTTTTAGATATAATTTAATACATTTATAAATATTGTTTTCAGAGTATTTTTGGAAAAAATTAGGTTCGGTTTCTGCCCCCTGCAGAACATTTTGAACTATTAGAAAATACATCAAGTCTAAAGACTAAGTAAACTTGTAAAAACGATTAGGTATTCTGGTCGATTGGCTTCTGAACCGAATTAACTTTAGACCACAATTAAATTCTTAAAAATAACTGTAAACATTTTTATGAATATTAAATGGAAAACAATTAAGTTATTATCTGTAAATCGTTCTTTTCTAAGGACAGATGTAAGTAGTTTCTTTTACTTACTTTTAAATCGCACGTCTTGTTTAACAGTAGATTGCTTGGCTTTAAGTCCCGATGCAATACGTTGGCTGAATGTATGTATTTTAATCCGCGCAATATTTGGTACAAGAAATAACAGATGTGGTCATTACTCAGCCTCTGAAAAAAAAAGTGGGATATAACTCATTGTATATACGTTTTAAATATAATTTAAAAGGTTGTAGCCACCGAATTTATTAATGTATACTAATTATTTCAATTTCAATTGTTAGTCATAAAACCTTAAATTGGAAGATTCAATTAATATAGTTTTGACGATTGCCAATTTCGCTAAAAATGGAAATTATATTTTCATATAATATGACTGCCAGCTTTTGGTGTAACGGTGTCACAGTCAAGGCACTCCGGAGGGTCCTTTAAAAATGGCAAATAATATAATAATGGGTAATAACGTGCTTAAATTTAGCGATCCAAGTTACACCGATTTGCGTTATCACAGTGAGAGGAAAGAGAAATTCTGGTAAGGAATTCTATTTTAGGTTAAGTTAACTGATGTACATATTTTAAAATAAAACCCACACACACGTTATTGTCCTTTGTTATCGTTAACCAAGCGGCGATTGCATTTAGTGGTGCGTCAAGAGTAAAATGCGTAAACATTTAAAAAATAAAAAACGAAGGTTAGGTTATGATTACATTGTTGGTATGTGAACGGAGGTGTTTTATCGAATAAGGTTTTGTATTTCAGTTTACTGTGTCCTATAAATTTGATAAAAAGTTGGGTTTATTGAATTGTCCTTTTTTTTGTGCTAATGAGTTCGTAGTGTACAGATGTGTTGTTCTATATTAAGTCATTTTTGGCTTTCATGTGATGTATCAGATTGATTGTATCAGATTGTATTTTTGACATTTTTCTGATTTCTAATATTATATTATTAATATTATATTATATTATATAATATTATTATAAGTTATTTTTGTGCCGAACTTTATATTATTTCTCACTTTAACTCGAGCCCGTTGGGGCAAGGATCCGTTAAATAATAAAACAATTTATTAAGTTTCACTTATTTATTTTCCTAAACCTATAAAGGTAAAGGATAGTATATGGGTTTACAATATTTGGTAGTTATACATTTATTTCTCCTAAACCCGCAACTGGGCAGTTTCCCAATTTGGGAACCGGATGTGTTAACTTACCATTACCGTTACCGTTGAGTTGTCAAATTGCTATCTTTCCTGCATTACTACCGTGTAAATATAAATAAATAATTTAAGGCCGTATATCGGCAATAACACATCAAACATTTTCTTCCAAATAGTCAAACGTTTGTGGCCAGAACCATTTTTTTCGAAATAAAATGCAATATTTGCAAGAGTTCAATAAATTAGCTTTCCAAGCTGAATGAATGGAGGAAATTATTCCCAAATACACTAATAAAACAAAAAAAACGCTATTATAGTCGAGTGCCGCTGTCTTATATAATTTTAAAATATTAATTTTGCTAGTCAAAATTCACAAAGAGCTACCTTTTTTCAGAAAAAGCATGATGAGTAACTGATGGTAACGTTACTGTCCATGTGAGGTATTATAAGTTATAACATAAATTTCTTCATAAATAGCGAAATAATGTTCCGATTCGAATAATCTTTAGCAAATCGATAGATATTGACGAAAAAGTTTTATACAAGGTCAAACTAAGGCATTGCTTATAATATTATGGACGCCAAAGTTTTTCGCGGCTTGTGGGCGTAAGAGTTGGCGCGGCAGGGCCGTTTCCGACCCTATAAAGTTTTTTTCAACGAATAAAAACTTCAAAAAAAAAACAAGGGGAAACGCTATAGTCGAGTGCCGCGACTATAAGATACCCCTTACTGTTTTACACAATTTTAAAATATTCATTTTGCTATTGGAAATTCCCCAAGCGTCACCTATTGTCGGAGAAAGCATGTTGAGTAACTGATAGAGACGTCACTACCCATGTGAGGCCCTATAACCTAAATTTCTTCATAAATAGCGAAATAATGTTCCGATTCGAAAAATTTTTATTAAATCGATAGATATTGACGAAAAAGTTTTATACAAGGTCAAACTAAGGCATTGCTTATAATATTATGGACGCCAAAGTTTTTCGCGGCTTGTGGGCGTAAGAGTTGGCGCGGCAGGGCCGTTTCCGACCCTATAAAATTTTTTTCAACGAATAAAAACTTCAAAAAAAAACAAGGGGAAACGCTATAGTCGAGTGCCGCGACTATAAGATACCCCTTACTGTTTTACACAATTTTAAAATATTCATTTTGCTATTGGAAATTCCCCAAGCGTCACCTATTGTCGGAGAAAGCATGTTGAGTAACTGATAGAGACGTCACTACCCATGTGAGGCCCTATAACCTAAATTTCTTCATAAATAGCGAAATAATGTTCCGATTCGAAAAATTTTTATCAAATCGATAGATATTGACGAAAAAGTTTTATACAAGGTCAAACTAAGGCATTGCTTATAATATTATGGACGCCAAAGTTTTTCGCGGCTTGTGGGCGTAAGAGTTGGCGCGGCAGGGCCGTTTCCGACCCTATAAAGTATATATATTCTTGATCGTTGCAATAACTAAATGCATATTTTGCTTAATGAAAGAGTAACACTTATGTTTGTGTTTTGAATTACACACTATTTTATTATTCAAATTATAACGAAAAATGTTCAAAAACGAGGCCTATAGCTGCGTTTTACATAGGAAAACCGGAAAATTAAGAAATCTTACATCAAAAAGTATTCCTTTTTTATGGGTTGGCAATAAATATTAAAAGTTTATATTTTGGTTTTTGTACGCTTTACATGCGTTCATATCTGGGTTAAAAAAAAACACCTAAAAATAGTTGTTTTTCCGGCACAACCTCCGGACTTGCCATCAGCCTTAGCATTAGCACAGGAAGCCGAATCAAGCAACGAAAGAAGTGCTTTTGCGGCCACTTTTGCCGGACATAATAAGGCGAAAACACACAAGTTGAACAACCAGCGACACTTTATTAGAACCCAAAAAGGGACCAACAATCAGAGTGGTTCCTTTAGACAGAGACCCCACACAAACTCGGGAACTTATCAGGGTCAACCAGCACCAGAGCCAATGGAGGTCGACCCCCCTCCAGAAGGCTATTTACTCGGCCCACAGCATGGCAAAAAGGGCAGTCAACTAAACAAAAGATAAACTTCATGCCAGAGGAGAAATCTGACAACGAAGATTATGACACCGTTGCTCAAGCCTGTTCCTCTGAAATAGATGATGAAGAAGATTCGTGTAATTTTTTAGATTAAAATCCCTGCTCCCCAACATTACACGTACCTCAAAAAATTACATTACTCCGATCCCGGAGCTGAAAGGCATAGTGGCAGCGGAGAAACCCTTTACAGGGAAGTCAATCCATGGCTTTACCAAAATAGTTAAAAAGTGCTTAGTTTCGGTGTTTAACATAAAAGCACCCTTTTTTATTCTAAATAACCTTAGAGAATTCGATGGTATTATCGACTTCGACTTGCTTAAACAAGCGAATGCGAATCTCGATTTTACTGGAAACGTTATTCACACAAACAACGGAGATGAAACAAGAGGAAACGCTATAGTCGAGTGCCGCGACTATAAGATACTCGTTACTGTTTTACACAATTTTAAAATATTAATTTTGCTAGTGCAAATTCACAAGGCGCCACCTATTGTCAGAGGAAGTATGTTGAGTATGCTTATAGTGACGTCACTGCCCATGTGAGGCCTTATAACTTAATTTCTTTATAAATAGCGAAATAATGTTCCGATTTGAAAAATCTTTTGTAAATCGATAGATATTAACAGAAATAAGTTACACAAGATCAAACGAAGGCATTCATAATAATATTATAGACTCCACAGTTTTCCGCGGTTTGTGGGCGTTAGAGTAGGCGTGGCCGGATGCAACTTCGTGGCAAGTTGCAGTGGCATCTCCTAAATACGTGTTTCTAAGCAAAATTGTGTAGCTCTTATAGTTTTCGAGATTTTTGCATTTTTGGTTTTTCGGGTTTTGTGGGCGTTAGAGTGGGCGTGGCGTGATCAGAAAAAAACAATTCCCATTGGGAGCATCATAGAAACATACATGCTTGATCCGAACTTTCTATCTCTTATAGTTACCGAGATATCAGCTTTTCTAGAAAATCCGAAAACCGTCTTTTGAGCCTTGTGGGCGTATGGGTGGGTGTGGCCGGATAGTAGTAGCACTATAAGATGCGCTGTCATCTAAAGATTATACTTTCTGAATTTCAACTTTCTATCTGCAATAGTTCCTGAGATTTCAGCAATTTTAGTTTTTTGCGATTTGTGGGCGTTAGAGTGGGCGTGGCAGGATGCTGTAATAAACTTGCGCTGTCCCGGGACCTTTAGAATCTTCATGCTTAATCTCAGTTTTGTATCTGCTATAGTTCCTGAGATCTCAGCGTTCATACGGACGGACGGACGGACGGACGGACGGACGGACGGACAGACGGACATGGCTCAATCGACTTCGCTATTGATCCTGATCAAGAATATATATACTTTATAGGGTCGCAAAAGCTTCCTTCTATCTGTTACATACTTTTCAACGAATCTAGTATACCCTTTTACTCTACGAGTAACGGGTATAAAAATAAAAAAGGTTATTGATGACGTCCTAAGGGAGGGAATCTCAAAAATATGCTACGTTTACGTAGACGACGTTATCATATTTTCAAAAACAAAAGAGGACCACGTCAAGGACGTGGATGGGTTTTAACCAAACTCTTAGAAGCAGGTATGGGAGTATCCCTAGAGAAATCGAAGTTCTTTAAAAAGAGCGCCGAGTACCTGGGATTCATAGTGACACAAGGGGGACTTCAAACTTCACCTGAAATGTAAAAGCTATTAAGGAATTTCCCCCAGCAAAAACACTTTTTGACCTCAGATCTTTTCTGGGGCTAGCAAGCTACTATAGGTGCTTCATTAAAAACTTCGCGAACATCGCAAGACCCCTAACAAGCATCCTAAAGGAAGAAAATGGGAAGGTTAGTAAATCTCAATCGAGAAAGATTGATATCAACATAATCAAAGAACAGAAAGAAACGTTCGACAGACTGAGAGAAATCTTGGGATCGGAGGAAGTTTTGCTCTCATATCCAGATTTTAAGAGGCCATTCGACTTAACTACGGACGCATCAGGCTTCGGACTAGGGGCAGTACTATCTCAATATGGCCGCCCAATTACAATGATATCACGCGCACTACGTGATAGCGAAAAAAACTACGTAACCAATGAGCGAGAGCTCCTTGCCATTATTTGGGCCCCTAAAAAACCTTCGGAATTACTTATACGGAGCAAAAGGGTTGCAGATCTTTACCGATAATCAACCACTTACTTTTGCCGTCTCAGAAAAAATCCCAATGCAAAGCTAAAGCGTTGGAAAAGGAGTATTGACGACCATAGTGCAAAACTGGTTTATAAACCAGGAAAAGAAAATTTCGTGGCAGATGCATTATCTCGCCAAAACATTAATACCCTAGAGGACGGAAAACAATCGGACGTAGCCACTATCCATAGCGAATAGTCCCTAAGATACACCATCGAGACAACTGACAACCCAACAACTGCTTCCGAAACCAAATAATAATTGAGGACGGAAATGGTTTATCGGTGGATATATTAATCTTGTTTAAAAGCAAAGTCAGACACATAATCAAAATCCCCAACCGGGAAAATCTGATGGAAGCATTAAAAGATGTTGCAAACGCGGAGATAGTAAACGCGATACATTGCTCCCTACCAACCTTAGCTTTTATCCAGCACCGACTAGTAGAGTCCTTCCCTAGCACTTCTTTTAAGCACACGAAAAACTTCGTACAGGACATAACGGACTCAACCGAACAGAAAGAAATTGTCATAACAAAACACAACAGGACCCACCGAACAGCACAGGAAAATGTAAAACAAATTCTTAGGGACTATTTTTTCCCAAAAATGCGTCGGTTAGCAACAGAAATAACATCAAATTGCAAAACCTGTTCCATGGCAAAAGACCAACGCCATCCATCAAAACAAATGTTCGCGAAAACTCCGATACCTTCATTCGATAGGGAAAGTAGTAAGAAAATTCACCAAGCACAGGAGAAGACGCTTGACCAGGTAAACAAAAATAGGAGCTATAGGAACTATCGGGTAGGCGAAAAAGTTTTTAATTAAA